AATAGTGATGAATCATTTCAAGAAGTTACAGTTATTGGAGAGGTTGTTGATCCTATCAACAACAAGATCACGTTTACATAAATTTTATGAATCAAAACTGAATTTCAAGCAGGTCAGTAAGTCAACTGTTGCTTCTAGTGATTGGGCAAAAGCCTTTCAGCTTGAAATTCTGAAGAACCAGATTTGATTCACAGCCTTTCTTACCTAGTAAAAGTGCAACCTGTCCTTTAGCTCGTGATTATGGTTTACCATTGGGCTTCCATATTGAAAGAATTTGCTGTCTAGTGAGACATTCTTATTAGTTGACGTAAAATATTTCAAGCAAGATTTGTTTTTTCAATTTATTAGAGTCTGAATATAGATATCTGATATTTCAGATTAGTTGAATCAAAAAATTCAGTTCTGTTAAAGATTACATACATATTCAACTTATCTTTTCAAATCAAGCATTTTTAATTTTGTCCCTCATCAGGTATGGAAGAATCCCCTGATAGTAAAATCTTGCACATGCATGATGCATAGCTGGAAAGTTGAACTTCAGGCATATTCCAATTACTAAATTAGGGAGGGAAGGCACCGGTGTCAACCACCTCACCGATAAATTGGTGTCAGCTTTTGTTTTTGTCAAGTGCCCTGATTTGTACGTAGATCAGGCATGAGCTGAAATCAAGGCACCGTAATCAAGTAATATTTTTTTATTGTAGTAGCTTGCTCTAAGATACGCATCTGTATTTTCCTCAACTTGGTTATTTTCTCTAACCTGTTGGTTGTTTTATTCAGAAGCAAGTAGTGGCTGTTCTACTTGTTAAGTTAGGTTGTCCTTAAGTTGAATTCTTTAAAAAAAAATAAATTTTCTAATACCACCCACGCATACAACTTAAAGGGCAGAACAGATTTTTGCCCAGACTAGCCCAATTATTAAATGATGCTAAAAACCAATACGCAACTGATGATGAGGTTTATCTCAATGAAAGCTAGATGATGAAAATGATTTTGGTAATGTGACATACAAGTAAAAATCTGCTCCCTGTCTTTGTTTTAAGTTGCAAGTTGCTGTGCCTATTATAACTTACAACTGTCTATGCACCACCTTGTACGAACCATACACGCATCGCCAATAGACTTGTACAGCATTAGCTGACAAAGCTTGGCCAACTAAATTCCACCGTGGTCCCTGGTGCAACTTGGCCTTGAACAAGGACGGAATGGCTACGTAGGAGAGCAACCAACCCTATGGCGCTGCTTCAAGGAGTTCATCTTTTTCCAGTGGACAGCCTATACATCCACCTATATTTAATTAAGTCGTGGGGCCATTGTCGACTCTCTGCATCGGGGTAGCTTTTCTGTTCAGTTGAACCGACTTTGTGTTTTGTCATTTCATATCTGCATTCTTTTTCAGTTGCTGAGAGAAGACTACTCAACTTCCTTTCTGTTTCCTTTTCCTTGCTCAAAGTCAAAGTTTTTGGGCGTTGAAATCAAACTTCTTATTTAAAATGTGAACTTCGGTTAAGATAGGCTCAGAAAAATTAGATTTTCGTAGAGTGGTTTAAGGGATAAATTGAGATATTCAAAGGTTTTAAATTTAAATCCCCTACATCGTATTTATGGATTATGCCCTCGACCTAATGTCATATGAACGGGTTATTTCTGCAGTAATGTTTGTTTTATCGCACAATCCTGCTATTGGTGTAGACACATAATGAGCACCATTTCATACGATTTTTTTAGTCCATAAAAATATCTAAGGTTACTCAAAACGACTTTTAGCACTTGGAAAAAATGTTAAATGTTAAATTAATTATGATATTGATAGCTGAATGGAATGATTGAAAAGGGAGTTAGCATAAAAAAATTCAGAAGTCTTCCATATCTTAATTATCATATGTAGCAGCATTCAATAAGGGCATTGTCAGCATTGACATTACACACCTTAGGAGAATATGTAGCTGATAATTAAGTTAAGAATTTTATTTAGCTAGGGGTTTGAGAAAAATTAAAAAGTTCTAACAATTATAATATTAAAAATGATAATAAAAAAATTAGAATACCCTTAATAAATCAATACATCAATATTAAGGAAAGAATGATTAAGGATATTAAAATAATTTTATAAAAATTTTGACATTTAAAATATCAAGAGATTTTAATTTTTACCTGTCTTTTTTTCTAGTACTAAATTTCTTAATATTTGGAAACCACTTTTGAGTCCTAATTAATTTTTAGTTAAGGTGAATTGAATCTTATAAGAAAAAGTTCTTTTTAACATTTATTTTTTCATTTACAAGATTTTTATTTACAAAATTGAAACTTAAAACTTTATTTAAAAATGATCAATTTTTTTTTATTCAACAAATTGTTGGTTTTCAATTGTCTTTGGCTTTACTAAAACTTTTTCACAGATCTTACAGCTTTACTTTCGTTGTAGCTAGCTAGTACAATTTATGCGTTCTTATTCTCCAACAAAGTATTTGTGAATTTTTTTCTATTCCTTTTATGACTGATCCAAAAATCTTGGTGAACTAGTCTGGTACTCTTCAATTATGCATTGTCAAATATCTTACCATCTCTCCATTCATTATTTATTTTTACTTATTCTAGTATATATAACCAACCATACAAAAGAGAATAGTTTTTCTTTTTTTTTTTACAATTCTTTAGATTATCATTCTAATACTTGAACATGGTATTTTACATTTTTTTGGACTATCATTTTAATATTTGAACATGGTATTTTACATTTCTTGGGATTATCATTCTAATATTTGAACATGGAACTTTTAATTTTAAAAGTCTCATGTTAAAAACAGTAAATATCTTGATGGGTATTTTTTGGCGTTGGGACATCTAGTATTGATTATGGGCCATTTGGAACATAATTGTGTTACCACCTACATAGACAGTTGATTCTCATCGAGGATTGCATCCTCTCCTTTCACCTGCCAGACCTGCCCACAACTACCTGGCGATGTGGCGTCTGATTCCAGCAACCTGGCAGCCTTCAATCTTCTTCTTTTCCGGCCAGTGTTTTCCGGTGGGGCATACTCTCCTGCCTCTTGTGGAAAATTCAATATGGCCTTACGGCCCCTCAACTTAAATGCAGCGCAATCATAAGCCTTTGCAGCATCCACAGCACGATCAAAAGTACCCAGCCAGACCCTGCTCCCCTTCCGGGTTGGGTCCCGTATCTCTGCAGCAAACTTACCCCATGGCCTTCTCCGAACCCCTCTGTAGTGCTTTCTCCCTCCACAATTCAGCACCTGGCCGTCAAGCTGTACAGGCAGATCAGATCTTCTAGGTCCGGAAGCCAACACTGGGGACGTTAAGTCTGGGAGTTCAGGTTTTGTTCCCTGATTGTATATTTCAGGGATACAGAAACCTGGGTTGGATATGGGAGAGGTAAAGTCCAGTTTTTGTATATGTATTGGGTTTTCAGGTTGGATGGATTGGATATTGGAGAGACCCAAATCAATACCAGACATAAAAGCTTCTGTGGAGGTGAGATCTTCCAGGAGGTGTTGGCAAATAAGTTCAAGGTTTGATGACTCTTCTAGTGTTGCCATTTTAGAGAAAGAAAGGAACTTTGAACAAGCAGATACATTCAAAAATTGGAGAAAGGAAGGAGTTTATATAGGGAAAAAGTCTTGATCTTGATTTGCTCTTTGGCCATGATTAGTCGAGTGTTGACCCAATAATATTAGCGACTCATTTTTTCAATGTGTGACTCACCTGCAAGTACTATTGGATGGGTTTTTATTGCAGTTTTTTTTATCATTAATATATATAATAAAATTAAAAGTTAATATTAATTTTATCAATTATTTAATAAAAAATATTTATATATTATAAATATTAAAATTAATGTTAATTTTTTTTTATTTTTTATATAAATTAATATATATATATTTTTGAACAAGTTTGTCAAGGAGTAGACTTAAAATCCGCTCATGAGAAGGAGAAATGCATCTCAAGTTGACAAATTGTCAATTAACCGAAAGACTAAGTATATATAAATTAATATATAATTAATAATAAAATGATATAATAAATACACTTTTAAAACATAAGATAAGAAAATTCATATTGTATTTATTACATTTAGCTTTAGGTCGGTGTCCATAGTGCATAGTGGTTGGAGAAATTTAGGGCACACAGATTTTACCCATTTTGATGCTGAGATTGGGTAGTGATTCTATCCAGTATTAGACTATTAGTCCAGCCGCGGTAAATGGAAAAAGATAAGAGTTGTATTGTTCTTTTTGTGGAATGATTTGTACAATATAATATATTTTATAATTCAATTCCTTTTACTTGAAACACATAAATTAATAATTTAATATTTATTTATTTATTTAATATCACAAAATATTATATAATTGTACCTCGTGAATATACTTTTTTTTTTGCAATAAAAGTTTTTAAATAAAATTAATTAATATCTATTTTTTAAAATATTTAAACTCATAATCAATATACATTTCATCATAAACAACGTGGCTACTACTTAACCACGTGGTTACCCCGTGGACATACCTCTTGTTTGGAGATAGGATAACACCGGAACTGGGTGATCTTATCCATTTTCATTTGATGCTTGAAGTGAAAAGTGGGACCTATTACGGTTTCAACTTGGTTTTCGAAGAGGGTGAAAGGAAAAGACAATCTCTGTTCATTCTGTCACATAAAGTTTTGCAAGTTGAGGTATGCCAAAATAAGGGGACCTGAAAGCTTTTGTGCAAGTAGTTTGTTCAAGGGGCTCCACATCCAACTGAATACTCAAAGTTAAATTGCCATATTGTTTGGTCAGCTTCACAATACAAGAAACATCGTCTTACTGGTGAAGACAAAGCATAAAACATCTTTGTGTGCTAGATCTAAGCTCCAGATTTCGCTATTATCAAAATCTTTTCCCAGTCTTTTCTATTGCTTTTAATTCTTAGGGGGTTTCCTATAGTCTTCAGCAAGAGCCAAGCCTGTACACCTCTCCGAGATTTGTCTCCCAGCAACCTCAAAATTTGGAGGGATCTTTAATTTCATCATGTTCACTATATTTATCAATTCGAGTAGTTAACAGAATCCTACTTCCTGGGCACCATGTTAAATGATCCCACACATTATCCAACACAAGAAATAACTTTCTTCCCCTCAATAGATTCACAAATTCTTTGCAAAAGGATTTGCATTGGAAGTGAATCAACAGCATGAAATAAATCATCCTGGAGACCTTCAAAAACAATACTTAAAACGATTGCTGGGCAACTTTCTTCTCATCAAACAAATGCAAGACACATACCCAAATTCTCTTATCAAAATTTTGCTTTACTCGGAAATCGTTGTAGATAAGTTGAGCAAGAACGGTCTTCCCCAGCCCACCCATCTCTTCAACAGAGATGGTTTCAAGTTCACTCCACTGGCCTTCTCCACTAGAATCACACAAAGCTTCTAATTATTTCTTCCTTTTCGCTATTTAACCCTGGAAAGGAACCCAAATTGAGTCACATGAGCCATACTTATAGTATCTAATACAACATGATAAATTCTTGTAAATGGATTGGACAATGACGAACAAGAAACCACCTAATATATTAGTGATTATAAGGCCAATTGCTATAATAATGGTAACAATAACAACACCAAGTATAAAAACTACCATTTTTGTTGTCAATAGATACATGGAAGTCTCACTTATTATGCGAACTCTAGGGGGCAGTAGCAAATAACTAACAAGCAGTTAAGTAAATACAACTTACCATTGATTTTCTTCTAGTTTGTGATTTAACAAATTAAATTAGGAAAAAGAAAAAAGAAAAAGGAAAAACAAAGATAGCAAAAGGCATTTTACTAAAGAAATCAATCAAATACAATCAAATCCCATAAAGCAATGAGCAATCTCCTTTATATACATGTACTAATTTGATAAACCTTAGTCCCCTCAATGTCTTCATCTTTTACACTTTCTATTTTGGGCCCCAATTCATTTTCTCCTAATTTAGTTAACGGTCATCAAACGCCGTTTATTCCCTCTCACTGTCTCACATAACTGCAAGCCGGGGGTACCCAAACGGTGGATACGGAGATAACGGCGATAGCGGTGGCACGCTAAAAATCCCCTTCCCCTCTTCGCAGTCCCAGAAACCCGTCCAATTCGACGGCGTTAAGCAAACCCCCGCCGTCTCCGCCTTTCTTTCGTCGGGTTCGGCTGACTCCTCTATCTTCACCGCCTTACACTGGACGCTCTCCTCGTCTTCTCTCCCCCTCTTCCTCGAATTCGTTTCCTCCTCCCTCAATTCAAATCCGGTAGAATCCGAATTAAGGCCAACTTCAAGAGGAAAATTCAAAATCGCTTTGCTTCCTCGCAACTTAAACGCAGCTCTATCGTAAGCCTTCGCCGCTTCTATGGCGGTGTCGAAAGTTCCAAGCCATACCCTTGTCCCTTTCCTGTTGGGGTCTCGTATCTCCGACGCATACTTTCCCCACGGCCGCCTTCTGACGCCCCGGTAGTGCGTCTTCTCCTTAGATTCCGACTCTGCAGGCGCAGGGCATGAGTTCAACTTAACGGCTGCTGGAGGGATAGTAACGTTAATGGAAGGGCGGCGCTGACTCAAAGTGGAGGATTTCACCTGGGGTTTGGTTTCGAATTCGGGTGGAGCAGAGCTTTGAATTTCTGAATTTGGGAGTTGGGTTTTAGATGAGATGGTGGAAGTGCAGTTGTCGAGATTGGATAATAAGCTGTCTAGGGAGAGGAAGTCGGTGAGGAGGTGTTTCCGGATGAGTTCCAAGGCTGATGCTTCATCAGGGGATGCCATGGGAACAAAAAGAGAGAAGATGAAGAAGAACAAAAACCAGAAAGAACTTAGTAGAATTGGTATTCACCTCAAAAATATAAATCTAGCTAGAGTTCAAAACTCGACGATGACCAACTACTAATTTCTTTGGCGATGTGAAGAAAAGAAGATATAGAAGAGTAGAGGCTTGTGTCTGAGTAGAGTGTGGTGGAAGAGTATATAAAGGGCAGAAAATGAGGAGGTTTCGCGGGGAGCTTCCGGTGTGGGAGGAGGAAGCCTCGTGGAGTAAGTAACAATCATAAAGTGGAATTGTAGACTTATCTTTAATGGTATTTTATTTCGAGGATGAATATTGTTTTCTCGTCTTCAGCTTTTAGTTTACTTGGAAAGTTATCACCAATCTTTAAAATCAAGCAATTTGGTCCCTAGCCTTCAATTCATCCTAAAGATATAATTTTATTTAAAAAAAAAAAAAAAAAAACTAGGTATCTAGCTTCTTATCTTAACTAATCTTATGGATATTTACAAACTCCTTATTTACTAGACATTGAATAGAACTTCATCTTTAAAAATGACGAATGTTAATTATGTATTAAAATTATTTATAAATTCTTTTAATTGGTTAATTTGAACTAAAAATTATAAAAATTCAAATTAAAAAAAATGGAGAAAGGTGATTGTTTTAACTTTAGATTAATTTTTCTTTTGCCCATCAAAAATAAGATTTTATTAATTTACAAACCAAAATCATTAAATCAACTATACAACAAAATGAAGACTAACTAAATTAAACTAAAATTACCTAAATTAAGTATCATTTTTTAGGCATATATGTATATATATATGTGTGTGTGTGAGGAGTCCATATGACATCTGATATGCATGTTTGTAGACTCTTCAAGTTAAATTAACAAAATTTTATCTTTTCATATAAGTTAATAGAGTGGAATGCACACGAAGAGATGATTGACTACATTGCAAGTTTTTAAAATATTAGGGACTCAAATTATTCTTGGCCAAAAAAAAAGGACTCAATCATCCGGTTCTAAAGGTCAATAACCATGATTGTGGTAGCCAACGGAAATTTAAAAATTGAAGAATGAAAATAACATCTATCTTGTTTGTTTCCTATAATTGAATTAATTTATACCTTCTAGAAGATAGGGAGGGACCCATGTTTGTTGTTTCTTACAAGCTCTGTTTCCAGGATGCTTCTGTCCGAATCTTAAAGCAATCAAGGTGGGTAATTAAGACAAGATAAATTAAATGAGAAAAGAAGAAAAAATGACTTGAGTGGGAGCACGTGGTGTGGACTTTTTAGATCTCTCCAATTAAAATTAATTTATACTATATGTATGGAAAGTTAAAGAAGCAACGAAACCATGAAAGGGAAGCTCTTTGACTGCTATGCATATTTCAAAATGGATAGACGAATCTGTGATATTTACCACGTTTTCAAAACAATGTTTGACTGTCAGCATTGAC